TTCTTAAAAAAATATTCTTTAAGAAATCCACGCCTCGGTTAAGCCTTGAAAAAATATTCTTAAAAAAATATTCTTTAAAAAAATCCACGCCTCGGTTAAGCCTTGAAAAAATATTCTTTAAAAAAATCCACGCCTCGGTTAAGCCTTGAAAAAATATTCTTTAAGAAATCCACGCCTCGGTTAAGCCTTGAGAAAATATTATTTAAAAAAAATCCACGCCTCGGTTAAGCCTTGAAAAAATATTCTTTAAAAAAATCCTCGCCTCGGTTAAGCCTTGAAAAAATATTCTTTAAGAAATCCACGCCTCGGTTAAGCCTCGATGAAACTTTAAAAAATATTCAAAAAAAAAAAAAAATCCACGCCTCAGTTAGGCCTTGATGAAACCTTAAATAATATTCTTTACAAAAATCCACGGTTCGGTTAAGCCTCGATGAAACCTTAAAAAATATTCTTTAAAAAATCCACGCCTCGGTTAAGCCTCGATGAAACCTTAAAAAATCCACGACTCATTAGTCCTTAAAAAGAGTTCTTAAAAAATCCACGCCTCCTTGAAAAATATCCTTTAAAAAATCCATGACCATGATTAAAGATTGACGAAATATTCCTTAAAAAATCTATAAATTTCATTTTCAATAAATTTATATAAAATGTATGTATGTACATACATATGTATGTATGTATCCATAAATATATCATCATCCCAATACGATATAAATAATTTATTCCAATCGACTGAATTACCGATTATCATTTTCTTGGCAAAAGCTGAAGCAGCTGAAAATAATCTCCACCATTGTAATATTTCGCATGGTTGCTATTGTTGTTGTCTGTGGGTTTTGAAACTTAATATGGCGAATTATTATGTTTTAAGTATTTTGGAAAAGAAATGAATTTTATACAACCAGCACACAACACACACACAGATACAAACCAACAATCTTAAATACACACAAATATGTAGATGTGTATATATAAGAAAATCTAACGTCTGTCTCTGCCATCGCCGCCAACATTATTTTCAGTTTTATACATAAATGATTGCAGATAAATATGAGCAGAGGAGTAGAGCGGCCGGCAGCATGAACAGCGGGGACGGGGGAACAGCATCTCCTTCTTCGCCAAAAATATAACCTGAAACGATGCAATTATTATGCTTTTCACGATGTGTTTTGTCTGCCATCAAATGAATAAATGAATTGTTTATGGAGGGAGAGAGAGCGAAACAAAAAACAACAAGATATAAATGGCTCTTACAAGAAAAACAAAAAAACAAATAGAGTAAACAACAACATCATCATCACCGCCAAACAGAATAGGCAACTCCCCAATAAGAAATCTAGAGCACAACAACAACAACAACAAAACGCCAGCAATAAGAATTCTCCATTATTACAAATAACGGAAACAAATACTAATGCAACAGCATGAGAGAGAGGAGAGAAGAGAAATCAGTACGCATGATTAATAAGCATAAAAGAAGAAATATAAAGAGATTTAACAGTGATGGCAAAATGTAAATTGTAAGCAGGGTTGGGAAACCAAGAAACGTGAACATTTTAAGGCATTTTTTCAAGGGTTAACAAAAGTGTGGATTTAAAAAAAAATATTTTTTAAAGGGTTTGACTAGAAGTGGATCTTTTAAAGAATATTTTCAAAGGCCAGATGATAAGTTCATTTTTTAACGAATATTTTTGGTGTCGTAGGCCACAACAAGGCTTGGATTTTTTAAAGAATATTTTGTCGGAGGCCACAACAAGGCGTGGATTTTTTAATGAATATTTTGTCGGAGGCCACAACAAGGCGTGGCTTTTTTAAAGAATATTTTGTCAAGGCGTGGATTTTTTAAAGAATGTTTTGTCGGAGGCTTCATCAAGGTTTGGATTTTAATTCGCCATATTAAGTTTCAGTGCTATTTTTTAAAGGTTAACCAAGGCGTACATTTTGTCAAGAATATTTTTCAGGGACTTACCAAAGGTGCGGATTGATTAAAGAAATGTTTCGAGGCCTTACAAAAGGTGCGGATTTTTTTAAAGAAACATTTTACAAGGATTAACCAAGGCGTATATTTTTAAGAATATTTTTCAAAGGTTAACCGAGGCGTAAAATTGTTAATAAATATTTTTTCAAGGACTTACCAAAATTGCGGATTTTTTCAGGTTTGTTTTTCAAAAGTTAAAGTAGGTTTAAATATTTTTTTTTAGGACTATTTTTTTCAGGAACTTACAAATGGTGCGGTTTTTTTAAAGAAAATATTCGAAGACACACAAAAGTTGCGAATTTTTTAAAGAAATATTGTTCAAAGATTAACCTAGGCGTGAATTTTTTGGAAATTTTTTTGGAAAATCTATTTTTTTTATTTTTTACAAAAGGTTCTGATTTTTTGTGGAAAAAATTTAAAGGGCATGACAACCATTTGATGGGGTCTACCCCTTATTTTAAGTCAATATTGATAATTTTCTGGTAAGAGGACTAGTCTACCAAGTGGACCAATCTTGAAAATATTTTGTAGGATTTAGAATTTGCTATCCAATGAGTACCCTAAATACAAAATCAATGAGTTACTACATAATATCTGAACTCGTAAGCACCTGTAAATATTCGTCCGATTTTATTTAAATGGTGCACGAAATTTGGCACAGCGTACTGAATTGAGCCTAGAATCGGTTCAGATTTAGATATAGCTCCCATATATATTTTCGCCCGATTTAAAGTAAATAATGCACCAAAGACCCTAAATATGTTTCGATTTGCACGAAATTTGGCACAGCGTACTGAGTTGAACATGGAGTGATGTGTGCCAAGTTTCGTGAAAATCGGTTCAGATTTAGACATAGCTCCCATATATATTTTAGTGCTATTTAAGGTAAATGTAAATTTGGCACAGCGTACTGAGTTAAGCCTGGAGTGATGTGTGCCAAGTTTCGTAAAAATCGGTTCAGATTTAGATATAACTTCTTTATATAGATTCGTACGATTTTATGTAGATGGTGCACCAAACTTTCAATATTTTTCAGAATGAAGCAAAATTTTGCACAGCGTACTAGATTAGGTCCAGTTTGATCTACGTGAAGTTTTGATGAAATCGGTTCAGTTGTAGATATATTTCTCCCACATATATAGTTTATCCGATTATATGCAAGTGGTGCATCAAACTCCCAATATTTTTCCGATTGAGATAAAATTTTGCACAGCCTAATAATTAGGTCCTGTTTGGTATTTATGAAGTTTTGTTGAAATCGGATCAGATTTAGATTTAGCTCTCATATATATAGTTTCGTTCGATTTTAGGTAAATTGTGCTCCCACATCCGAGTACATACGACAATATAATTGGTATCAATTTAAAGACCAACCACTCCTCTTCAACTTCTCGGGTCTATGTCCTTACGGGGTAAATATATACGCTATAGAATAAAAATTTGCCATTTTTCACACAAAGTCAGGGTCTATTTGACCCGAAACAGTCATACTTATTCTTTGGCCGGATCCCCTTCTCCATGTAAAAATTCGCAATGTTTGGGCCATAATTGCGGCCTCTAGAGCGACCAGAAAAAGGGACCAAAAACTTAAAATTTGTCGTTTTTTCTGTTTGCTACAGAGGCCGTAAAAAATTTTGTATTCTGTAGCGTATATGAAAGACAAAGACCCGAGAAATTGATAGTATATCCAAAAGGAATGGTTGGTCTTTAAATTGATACCAATTATATGGCTGTATGTAGTAGGATGTGGGAGTTACACTTAAATATCCCCCACAAATGCAAAATTTGGTGAAGATTGGTCCATAACTGCTGACTGTACCTTGATAACAAATTATAATGGACAGACGGACGGACACGCAAGTCTGGATCGACTCAGCTAGTAGAGATATGACAATCGGTATACTTAAAGGTGGGTCTAGAACCAATATTTCGCGGCGTTACAAACTCTTGGGGCACAAGGCTATAATATCCTGACAACATGGTTGTTTGTGTAGGCCTCGTCTAAACCTTGAAAATTTTTTTTTTTTAAAAAATCCTCGATTTGGTTAACCCATGGTTAACCCTTGAAAAACATTCTCGTCTGCTGTCATTTATCTAATTTGTTACTTCCATCTCTGACAAATTGGATTTCAAGTTAAGCACTCTTAAAGAGAATACTACCGTTAAAGAGAGTTTATCTCATATTGTAATAAGCATGCCGTTATCTATAAAGAGAAATTCATGATTGGGATTGGTTGCTGCCACCCCAATAACAAATACTCTCTCTCTTTCTCCCTGTGATAAAACACAATGAAGCCACACCCCTTGTTGCAAATGGAACTAATTTGAGCTGTGGATATCATCGAAAAAAAAAATGGAAAACACACCCATTTTCTCATATAATTTTCTTAAGCAATGGCCTCATTATTTTGTTTCTTTTTTTTCCCATTCTCTTTTAATATCATACCATGTGGAATGAGGGTAGTGTTCGGTGCCAGCAGCAGCAGCAGTAGTAGATGAACGAACACTTATTATACATAACATCTCAAATAATATGGATTTAATGGATAAAACGACAATGGCCATAAAAATCCACAACAACTGAACCGAAGCGAACAGAACTGAAAACAACAACCAACAAATATTCTGCTCTGCGGCCTCATTTAATAAATGGTATAGTTATTATCTTGCATTAAAAGCAGTTTATAACAATCACATAAACTTGGAAAATTGGAGGGTGTAAGTGGGGAGATCAGAAGCAATGGCCCCTGGCTTCCATTCCGGCCACTTTTGAAAATATGCTTACGTTACTGTTGTTCTACATATATCATAAAAATAAAATTTATTATATTTGTGTAACAAAACTTTGTGTATTCACATACATATATACAAAGAAAAAATTCCACACAGCTATACCGAAAGTATGGCGGGATGGACGAGCAATCAAAATTAAGTCATTAAAAGCACCATCATCAAATACACCAACAGGACGGCTGGTCCCTCTTTCCATCCACCTCGCATTCTTTTCATGATTCGTCTACATTTAATCTCTACCGAATTTATGTGTCTCCACTGGTTTATCCACCCGCACCACACGTTCGGCCACATTCAGATAAGCCTCATATTCCACAATCTCAGGTGTGGTGTCGTAATGATAGTGGCCACCCCAATTGGAGTTGGAAAATGAGTGGAAATGTTGTAAACGTAAATCCAGATCCTATAAAAAGAGAGACAAAAAAATTAATAACGGCGATATTAAGGCAAACATTAATCTCCAGTTAGCCAGCCAGCTAGGCAAGCACCCAGAGAGTGACTGAGTCACTTCTTCACGAGTCTTACGTGTTCATGAGTTATCAATGTGCCCACGGCAGTTAAGGTAGCTGGCATTTCATAGAATTTCAGCCATTGATTCAGACCATGTTCATCGACAATGGGTGTTTTGCTGAAATCCCGCATGACATGCTGATGGGCTTTGCCTTGATTAATTTTAAACATGCCACCCATACCTAGGCAAAAAGCAAAGACGAAGAAGAAAAGTTAATAAAAGAGAAATAATAAATTAAAGTTCGAAAGAAAGGACGATACTTACCCACACACTTATCCTGATATCTCTCCAACAGACCTTGGCGTATACATTCAATAAAATTCAAATGGCCGGTACGCTTTTTACATGCGATTTTTAATACTTGACCTGGTTCGCCGCGACACACAAATAAATTTAAAAGTAATGCACATCGTGGTTCGGTATCGGGAATAGATTCCAATACACATGTCTCTTCTAAACCAGAGACCTTGGCGGTGTAGCTACCACTTTTTAGTTGGCCATCTTCTGAGATGCTCATATTATAGATACCTTCACAATTGGAATTACGCAGAGGATAGGGTCCAGCACCGGCACCAACTGTTTGGAGTGGGGAAAAATTAAAATTACATTTAAAAAATATATATATAAATACCCGGATAATATTTCTATAGGAAAAAATATTCGGATAATAGTTTCAAACAACAAAAAATATTTGGATAATAGTTTCTACAGAAAAAAATATCCGGATATTATTTATAAATAACAATTAACCGGTTATTATTTTTATAGGAAAACATTACCCGGATATTCTTTTTTAAAACCGGTAAAATTATCCGGATATTTTCTATAGCGACAAATTATCCGAGTAATATTTTCTATAGGAAAACAATTATCCGGATATTTTGCTATAGAAATACAAAATATCCGATTAATATTTTCTAAGCGAAAAAATGTTACCCGGAAATTCTCTATAGGAAATTTTTTTATTCGGAAATTTTTTTCTGTGGGAAAATCTCTTATCCGGATACGATTTTTCTATAAGAACCGGATATTATATTCTATAAGAAAAATTATCCGGATATTTATTTATATAATAAAATAAAATCCGAATATAATTTTCGTTAGCTAAAAATTATCCGGATAATATTTTCTATAGTGACAAATCTGTAGGAAAATCTGTTATTCTGTTAAAATTTTCTATAGGAAAATTTGTTATCCGGATAATATTATCTATAGGAAAATTTGTTATCCGAATATTTTAAATAAGAAAAATGTTGTACGAATAATATTTTCTATAGGAAATTTTATATCCGGATATTTTCTATAGGAAAATTTGTTATCCGGATAATATTTTTCTATAGGATAATATTTTTCTAGAGGAAAAATGTTATCCGAATATTTTCTATAGGAAAATTTGTTATTCGGATAATATTTTCTATAGGAAAATTTGTTATCCGGATATTATTTTCTATAGGAAAATTTGTTATCCGGATAATATTTTCTATAGGAAAATTTGTTATCCGGATATTTTCTATAGGAAAATTTGTTATCCGGATATTTTCTATAGGAAAATTTTGTTATCCGGATATTTTCTATAGGAAAATTTGTTATCCGGATATTATTTTCTATAGGAAAATTTGTTATCCGGATAATATTTTCTATAGGAAAATTTGTTATCCGGATAATATTTTCTATAGGAAAATTTGTTGTCCGGATATTTTTTAAGAAAATTTGTTATCCGGATAATATTTTCTATAGGTTTATTTATTATACGGATAATATTTTTTGGGAAAATGTGTCATCCGGATAACATTTTTTGGGAAAATGTGTCATCCGGATAATATTTTCTATAGGAATTTTTTTATTCGAATAATATTTTCGATAGGAATAATTTTTTTTATATATGAAAATTGTTATCCGGATAATATTTTCTATAGAATAAATTCTTTTGTATAGGAAATTTGGTTATGCGGATAATATTTTCTATAGGATCATTTTTTATCCGGATAATATTTTCGATAGGAAAGTTTGTTATATGTACAAAAATATACGGATCATTTTATCCGTGAAATTGTTGCGACAGAAAATATTATCCGAATAATTTTTTATATAAGATATAATGCGGATATTTTTTCCTATATAAAATAGTATTCAGATAATTTTTTCTATAGAAATCCGAATAATTTTCCATATAGAAAATATTATACCGATAATTTTTTCCTATAGGAAATATAATTTTTTTTCCTACAGAAATATTATCTGGATATTTTTCCCTATAGAAAAGATTATATGTAATTTTTTTATTATAGAAAATATTATACGGATAATTTGTTTCGTCAAAAAATATTTCGAAAATCTTTTTATAGAAAATATTATTCGGAAAAATTTTTCCTATAGCAGCAAATATCTGTATAATTTTTCCTACAGAAAAATTTATTTGGATAATTTGTTCCTACAGAAAATTTTATCCGGATAATTTTTTCCTAATACAGTATAAACTTGATAATCCGGACCTCGACAATCCGGATTATTCGGTAATCCGGACTGCATTCCACAACCCATTGCGTATCCTATAATCCGGATTGATTGACTTATTTGACTCAAAAATCCGGATTGTAAGGATACGTTACTTTTTATTTTAATAAAAAAATCCTTGCAAATTTAATTGAAAATGGTACCCATTATATTCAAAGTTCATATTTTTGAAATGAATAATTTTCACTTTTAATAAAAACATAAAAATAATTAAATTATCACCAAATTAATATAAATTTAAACCAATTAATAAAACTCGATAATCCGGAAATCTCGGTAATCCGGATTGGGGTCTGCAATCAATTATCCGGATTAGCGAGTTTTTACTGTACAAATATTTTCAGTAATTTTTTTTTTTCTACAGAAAATATTATCCGAATATATTTTTATATATATAAAATCCGAATATATTTTTATCCGAATATATTTTTATATATATAAAATTTTTATCCGGATAGAAAATACTATCTGAATAATTTTTATCATAAAAAATAACATCCTTATAACATTTCCCTATTGAAAATATACGGATAAAATTTAAATTCTGGCATGTTAGGTCTTCTTACACACCTGCCAAAATTTTACCACCACCCATAGTCTTCTGACAAATTTCCTTGACATTGTATAATTTTTCACGTTGAACCAATGGCAGGAGATATGGTGGGCCGCCCAGCTCCAAAAGGGTTGGTGAACCACCCAAACCTAAAAAAATTAAAACAAACTTTATTATCCAAATAAATATATATATATTTCTACTTACCCGAATCCATTAAACCAAATTCCGGCTTTTTCAAATCGGGACAATTGGTAACTTCAACGGTGACATTTACGAAATTCTTAACCAAAGCTGAGTGAATAACTGTTAAAAAGTTAATAAATTTACATTAGCAACCATTTACAGTTAAAAATTTAACAGTTATGTTCGGCAAAGAGCTTTTATCAAAATTGTCTCTCCCTCTCTCTCGGTATGTACCTTTCAATGTAAATGTTATTTACAGTAAGTTCAGGTGTGTACATTCAGAAAAGAGAACATTATCTGTTTATCTCTCAAGGTAGATAACTCTAAGAGAGCAAATATTTTTGTTGTTTTCTTGCATAGATGGGCCATCATAAACAAAAAACATGTGTTTTATCTCGCAAAACAAATTTAGATAAAAGCAATTTACGTAGAAATTTATTGCCGATTAATTGAGACCACAACAACTCACCTTCCTTAAGTTCCTGCAATGAGGGCTGATATAGCGGCTTCTCTTCGTATAACAATTCACTGGTATTTAAAGCACTTTGTGATGCCATTTCTATTCACTTTTTTTTTAATTTCAAACACACCTGGACTTCTTGAACTTGTTTACACACAAATGGAATGCCACCGAACCCAACAAACTGAACGTAGTACTTTAGCGGACGACTGAAAGTTAAAGACTGACGTCCGAGGTGGAAGACTTGTTTTTTTTTAACTCACAGCGGAATGAATGAGAGAGTCGTTCCAAAACAAAACAAAGCACGACAAACGAATACAACAACACCAAGGTGTTGTGATCGTTCAGATACCACCTCGGGCTGCATTTGACCGCCGCTACCCCACCACCACCACCACAATAAATTCTAATGTGGTTCTTTGGAATGAGGGCTAACTTATACCGCACCAGGTCATTTGTGGAGGTATTGCTTCGGGTTGTTGTTGTAGTAGTTTCTGTTCGTTCTATGGATTGTTTTTATTTGTTTACATAACTGGCCACTATCTTTGCACTTCATGGCACAGGGTGTGCGGTTTTTTTGTTCAAAATGCGATAAGGTTTTTTATTTTGATTTTATTGAAGTTGGTACACACACTTATTTAGATAGTGGTCCTACATATAATTTAGGTACGAGTTTTTTTCCGAATAGAGAATCAGCGGTCACACTTAAAGCACAATTAGTGCTCATTATTCAACACTTATTTGTCTTTGAGAGTGATTTATTCGATTATTTTTTTCTGCTTTCAGTAATTACACTGAACAGCAGAAAATTTCAAAATTCTGATTTTTGAAGTTGAAATTTGAAAATTATTGAAAAATAAAATAGAAAATACTATCCGGATAACAAATTTTGCTATCCGGATAACAAATTTTCCTATAGAAAATATTATCCGGATAACAAATTTTCCTATAGAAAATATTATCCGGATAACAAATTTTCCTATAGAAAATATTATCCGGATAACAAATTTTCCTATAGAAAATATTATCCGGATAACAAATTTTCCTATGGAAAATATTATCCGGATAAATTATTTTCCAATAGAAAATATTATCCAGATAAAAGTTTTCCTTTAGAAAATATTATCCGGATAACAAATTTTCCTTAAGAAAATATTATTCGGATAAAAATGTTCCTATAGAAAATATTATCCGGATAAATTATTTTCCGGATAACAGAAAATATTATCCAGATAAAAGTTTTCCTTTAGAAAATATTATCCGGATAACAAATTTTCCTTAAGAAAATATTATTCGGATAAAAATGTTCCTATAGAAAATATTATCCGGATAACATTTGTCATATAGAAATTATTATCCAGATAACAAAATTTCCTTCAGAGTATCGGTAAAAAAAAATCGACAAAAACTGAAAATATCAACAAGTGAAAAGCGTTAAGTTCGGCCAGGGCGAACTTTGGATACCCCCCCACCATAGATATACTGATAGGTTTGGATCAATTTTGTTTCAGAAAATTTTGATTTCATCCAAACTTTGCCCATCTTATTATTTCTTCCAAACTTAGTTCAAGTTCGAAGATGGGGAATTTCGATCCACTCCTACTGGTGCCTCCCACACAGGGGCTAGACCTAAATGCGGGTTATAGTTCATTATCGAACCTTACGTTCTAGTTTTTTTTATGTCCTCCGCAGGTGAAATTATTACAACAGAGTCTTAGAACCAATCCCAAAACGCGAAACAAATCAGTTAACTATTTTAATATAAAAAGGGGGTTATATGGGGACTAGCCAAAAAGGGAGCGAATATAATTAATTTGGGTAGGGAGATTGGTTACCACATACGACTGCAAAATACCAAATTGCAGCGAATTCGGTTGAAAAACGCGCTCAAGGTACCCTTATATGGGTGCTATCCGAAAAAATGGACCCATATTCATAATTTTTTGAGGAGAGATTTGCTACCCAATATGAACTCGAAGTACTAAATTACAGCCAATTCGGTCACAAAATATGATCAGAACCCCCAAAATACCAAAAAATTGGGGGTACCGTTATATGAGGAATACCAGGAAAAGTGAACCTATATTTATAATTTTTTATTGGTACCCAATAAAAACACAATGTACAAAATTTCAGCAAATTCAGTTATAAAACGCGCCCAAGAACCCCATAATACTGAAAATTGGGGGTACCCTTTATGGGGGCTATCTGAAAAAAAATGTCCCTATATTTATAATTTGCTACCCAATAAGAACTCAAAGTACCAAATTTCAGAGAATTCGGTTGAAAAATGCGATCAAAACCCCAAAAATACCGCAAAGTTGGGGGTACCCTTATATAGGAGATATGCCTAAACGTGGCCTGCCCTGCCTGCAGACAAAATACGACTATATGCGAAATTTTGGCGATCTATTTCAATTCGTTTAGACGCTAGAGTGATTACAACAGACAGAGGGAAGGCGGGCATGCTTAAATCGTCATAGATTTTTACCCTGATCAAGAATATATATATATATATACTTTATAGGGTCGGAGGAAATGATTATTTCGATGCGTTACAAACGGAAAAACAAAACTAATATACTCTCCATACTATGGTGGAGGTTATAAAAATGGTTCCAGAGTCTTATGTAGACTTATATTGACATTTTCTGCAACAAACCAAAATGTCAAAATACAACCACTAAGGTTAAAACTGTCAAAAAAATAGAAAATTATATGTCAAAATATGGAACTAAGTTAATAGTTTTCTGAATAAATGAATGTCAACGTCCACCAAATTACAGTCCTTTAGATTGAAAAAAGGAGGCAAAAACTTGGAAAATGCTGAAAATGGGACATGACCTTTATGTGAACGCTATTTTGTGGTTATTCAACTAAATTTTTCGCCATCGAATTTTTTTCAAAAATCTTAAATTTTAATCATGTAGGCTAGTGTAGTGTCATATAAAAATCACTGATAAGATTTTTTCCATCCCGCGAAAACAGCAATACAATTTAAAATGTTTACTATATTTGTTACCAAAGTGTTGTTGGTATACAACAAAGATGATAAGATTACAAATCTGTTCACACCAAAGCATCTCAGCAGGGGGAGAAAGTCTATAAAAATTCTTAAAAATTTACAAACACTGAATTATATATAGAGCCCAAGATCACTATTTCGATAATGTACATTTTTGTCGTATAAAAAATCATATACCCTCATTAGCCATAAGGTTGATGGTATAAAAATTCCAAATCTCTATAAATATCTCTATCTCTATTAAAAAATATCAACATACAGTCGAATATTTTATGGGGTCTCCTATAAATAAGGAGGGTTTGTGGGATGATATACAAATGGTAGGACTACTACAACAACATTCCAAAAATAGGGATATTAAAAATCAAATCTTTGAAATACTTCCGCAGAAGTGTGATCTTAAAAAAAATTATCAGAATTTATGTTATGAACTTACCAGTAAATTGGGGCACAGATTCAACTTTAAACTCAAAAACATCCCTTCTCAGGCAACATATTTCTTCTATTTTCAAACTAAGGGAATTGTCTCTGTTGCTTAGTATATTTCACATTTTCAACACTGTGGACACTTTGTGAGGGCTACCTTCCAATTATTGTTAATCTAAATACGACGCATAGCGGTAGAATCTGGAAATGAAAATACACATGTATATTAAGAATATAAAATTCGTAAAGAACAAAATACATACAGACATCAAAATGTTAAATATCTTCTATGTCATGTTGTGTACCATTGCATTCAATTACACCAGCATTGTCCACTCTTTATTTCTTAACAATTTCCAAATCATGTTTCGTTTTGTCTTAACTGATCAAACGTTACTCTCAACAACGCGTACCATTACAGCAATTTGATATGACAAATTCTTTGGAAAAACTTATTTAAATAGAATAATTTGATAGAAACGACGTAAAGGAACAACAGTTGCACTAAATTCTAACAAATATTACACTTTTTAAATAGTTTTAAAACACAATTTCAGCAATTTTCACTGCTAAACCAAATTCACAAACAAAAAAAGCGCCAACTTCCAATTAGACTGTCAATTAATTACATCTCATGCACTGAACATACCCCATTGTAACGTTGTGATGAGCAGGGTTGTATTTGTTTACTGCATTGTTAAAATGTAATTAGTGCATGACGTGTTGTAGTATGAAATGCCTTACGTATAACCGTTCTAGAGGGATTGAAGGTGATTTTTTGTTTGTTTTATAAATATTTCATTTAAATTAGAGGTAACTGACATAAAAAATGACAAAAAAGAGTATCTATTATTTTAGTCATCTATGTATTAAGGAAGAGAAGTGAAAGGTTTTGCTTTTTTAATGAAAATTGGTTGTGAGCTAATAGTACGTTTATATTATATTGGATTTCGTTAATCCAGTGGATTTGAATTGTCAATTCCATTGTATATATGTCAAATGAATCCTGACAAAGTAGGTTAACCCAGTAACAAGTTCTAATGTTAATGCTGCCTAAGGTGAGGGGAGAAAACATATCAAGAAATTAAGGAAGACTGACATAAAAGTCTCCGAAATACATCCTGTGGAACCATCACAGTTGCCCAATAGTCAACCGAAATATTAGTGGTAACTAAAACATAGAACGACATTAACGGAAAAACACCTTCAGATTTTAGATGAGATTTCTACATCTCATTTCGTCAGCAATTCGTTGATAAAAAATCGCCCTTGATGGCCTATTATAAAACAATTAACCGGTCAGTGGTAATCTTTGGAGATTAAGTTTAGTTTGGGAAATTTTATAATAGAAGTGCAAGAACATTCAAATGCCGTCCTGAGCTAAGGTCCAAAATAATGCTCGGTAAAATGTTTCAATGTAAATAGCCTAGATTGTGACAGAACCCCATACATCCTGAGTCAATGGCCTCAAACTTCCTTTGAGACCAATGTATTTTTATACCCTCAGCATTATGGTTAACGAGGTGAAAATTTGCCTCACCGAAATATTGGTTTTAGACCCCATATTTTTTTTTTTTTTTTTGGACCAAATGAGTTTCAGAAAATTTGGGGTCGATTGACAAAAGTCCGTCCGTTGCCCGTCTGGTCGTTTGGTGCGCACGATAACTCTCGAAGGGACTAATCGATTTCATCCAAACTTTGCACATCTTAACGTTTCTTACAAACATAGTTGAAGTTCAAAGATGGGGAATATCGGTCCGCTTCTTCTTGTACCTCCCCCATAAAATGGTCAAAATTGTGGAAAAAATATTATAATATCATGCGAATGGACTATCCGTTTTGAAGCAAACTTTATACAACAAATTAACTTTACCAAGCCTAGATCCGAAAATGGGGCTCATTGGGCTACTTCTACTTGTAGCTCTCCCACGAAATGGTCAAAATGTTCGATATTTATAAACTTAATAAGGCGAATGGAATGTCCGATTTGAACCAAACTTTGCACAACATATTGTCTTTGCAAAGACTAGATAAAGTCCGAAGATGGGACCCATCGGTCCACTACTTCTGGTACCTTCCTCAGAAAGATTCAATATTTTATAAACTTGTAAATTTAATTTGAAGCGACTTGAATACACGATTTGATCAACAATAAATCCGAACCCTCTCGGACAAAAACAAAGACCTTAAATGTTATGCCGATATTATTCGCTTTATAATATCGGCATAACATTTTTCCTATAGAAATTATTATCCAGATAACAATCGAAAATTGTATGTCAAAATATGGACCTATGTTAATAATTTACCAAATAAATGAATGACACCCTCCAATAACCCGATGTGCAAAATTACAGTCCCTTAGATTGGAAAAAGGAGGCAAAAACTTTGAAAATGCCGAAAATGGGAGGTGACCTTTATGTAAAAACTTTGTGCATTTCAAGACCTCCGCAAACAATAGGCTGAGGGTATATTTCTATGGCAACATCGACTGAGATCTTCCCATTGGAAGAAAATTTGAAATACCCTCCCAATGGCCGGCGACGAACCATATATTTTCTATTTGAAGAGTGATTCAGCCACATAGCAGTTGCTTAGCTCCATGCGTGAAGGCTTAAACCCACGGTCGAAGACCAAATCTACAGCCACTAAAAGCAAACTTTGCGGATTTATTTCTACATTTGAAAAAAATTTAGTAATTCTAATGCTTAATTAAAAAAAAAATCTGTTGAGTCAAGGTTTTAAGAAGGGCTTAAATCGCTTCATAATTGTTCCTCTAACAAATAAATTCTAGTCTAGTCTATTCCAAAGTTTTTTTTATACGAATTGTATCCTCGAGTCCCTTAACGAATTATTAAAATCTTAAAAATTTATCGGTATTTTACTGCCCATTCATGGTCAGGATAATTAGCAGCTTAATATCTTAATGTATGGCCTAGAGCGTAGTAATTAAATAAATAATTAAGAAATTAATTTATTTGTGGACCCAAACTTTTCTTACGGCTTCTAAATGTTCTCGATCTCAAATTGATGTCAAGACATGGAACCCCATATTTAGTTGGGTCAAATATATGTCGATGCTAGGCTTGTTATCTCATACTTCTTCAAAAAATTGCAAGTCATCAAAACAATCTCGAGTATTTTGATTATTGTATGTTGTTCCACCCCATTAAACATCAGCTACAAAGCAGCAGTTTTTTTTAACAATTTTTTTGTATATTTTTTTTCTTGTTGTGTTTTAAGATTTCTTTTCTAAAAGAATATGAAAAAACAAAGTATTAAATTTTTTGTTTTGCAATGTTTTTAGAATAAAACATTTTTTTTCTATTTTGGGTATTTTCTCTGTTTGTTGTTGTTGTTTTACAGAATCTTCTTAGGTTAAAAGAAAATAATAATAATGGATAAAGGAGAAGCTTCTTAAGAACGTGGACGTTCCTTCTTTTCCTTGTACAAGGCCAAGAGGGAGACGTTGGCTACTTTGACAACCTTGAAACGGACACCGGGAATATCACCGACGGCGTGACCCTTACGACCGAAACCGGCAACCAAAACTTCGTCGTTTTCTTCAATGTAGTTCAAGCTACCGTCACGAGGTACGAAAGCGGTGATCTTCTTGCCGTTCTTGATCAGTTGGACTCTCACGCACTTACGGATGGCAGAGTTAGGCTGTTTGGCTTCAACACCACTGCAAAGGAAAAGGGAAATTTGTTAGTTTAGGAAATTGAAAAAGAAAAAAATATATATAGATTTTGTTGATGATGATTCGATGAAAGTCTGGATTAGCAGCTCCTCCTTAACTCACAGTATAATCCTGTGATTTGATTTTTCAAAAAATAAACAAAAACACAAAAATATACTGCGAGCCATGGCAAGAGACGGTTGGTCTTTTTTTGATTTGTTTGATTTTTGGTCCATGATGTTGTTTTTGTTTTGTTGTTCCGAAACACTTGTTTGTTGTTGTTGGTTGTTTGTTTGCTTGTTGTATACTTACACTTTTTCAAGTACAATACCCTTGGCGTGGGAAGCACCACCGAAGGGATTGGCCTTCCATCTTGTTCCCAAATGGGCCTTTTTGTAGTCCTTGTCAGCCCAACGTTGGTCACGACGATGGTTGACGTGCTTTCTGGCTGTGCGGAGACCTCTTGGTTTACCTGTAAATATGCGGGGGAAAAACAGAAAAACATTAGAAAATCTTCTTCCAAGATCAAATAACATGGATACTTAAAATAAACAATAAAGCGCGCATAGGCAAGCATTCACACACACACGCACAAACAAAAACACACATTTACGCATATGTCAGCCAAGGCGTCGTCGTTTTCACATTGATTTCATCCATTAAAAAAGGAGGCAATGCCCTTGCTTCATTATTGTTATTATCAATTGGATGCTCACTTTCAAGTTTGATATCATCTTTCGCAGATTTTCTTTAACATTTTAATGCATTTTTCAATTTCCATTTTCACTATGGGATGTCTTTGATATTTTTGAGTTTTTCTTTCAAACATGTTAACACATTTTTCTTTAACTTGTCACTTGTGTGAACTACAAAGACGACGACGACGTCTGTTTTACTATGGGGAACGGCGACATAATGCGGCTTTTTTTCTATCTCTCAATTTGTGACATTTCATGTCATCGCTTAATTTATCATTTTTATGCATAAAATCTTGCAAATTTCACAAACATTTATTGTAATGTTTAGTTTAGACACTTGCACACACATTTTTAGTAAATTTATTTTCATATTTTTATGTTTTCCCGTTAAATTTAATAAATTTTCGTAACTCACCCATAATTTCCAAACTTTCTCAAGCGATGGCGGAAATAAAAGAGCGAAAATAGGGATGCATAAGTCGATTTTCGCCTAATCGATTAAAAAAGAGAGACGAAATGTCAAAATCGCCTATGGAGTTGTTAGACTATCGGGCTATCGATTAGCTGGTTATCGATTGCGATGCCAAAGGGGCAATTTGGTGTATTGTGTAGATGAATTAATGATTTTAAAAGGATTTTTAACAAAATTTGGAAATATAATTAAGGAAAATAATTATAAATAAGATAATTAGTATTAAAAGAGGAAGTAAATAATAAAATTGTTTATAGATATCCCTCAATGAGGGTTATTTGTACCACATAATACAACTCTTTATGTTAGTGTTGTATTTGTAGGGTAAAATATCCCAAAATACAACAGTGAAAAAGAGGGAAATTTTTGCAAAAAAAGTGTTGCCACTTTTCAATTATGGTAAATATAATATTACAAAAAAATAAAAATAATAATAAAGAAAAATAAAGGAAACATTTGAGTTCATGTTATCATCGTGACACGTAACATGCAACGTGTCTGATTTAAATTACAAAAGATAGAGCTATTGATGCACCAAACGTTGCTATTTCGTAAAAAAATAATTGGAATGCTCCCGTAATCCACATTTGTAAATAGGGATTTGAAAACAATTTCGATTAATATAAGATTCTAGCAATTTTCGGAACAGAACAAATGTAAAATTAAAATATTAAATGTAAATCAGAAGAAAATTAGAAATGTAAAAACAATAAAAGGGTATTAATTGTTATGTTTCGGAACCTGCAAATTGAAATAAATTTGAAAAGTTTTATAAATTTTGCGTACGGGAACATCCCGAATAAGTAAAAAAATTGTCCTCTGTTCAAGAAAATTCATGCATTACTGTTAATCAAAATTGTTTCAATTCCCCTTTAATATGTTGAGTACGAGAAATAATCAATTGATATTTTACTTTATTGTCTATTTCCCCTTTACAAATTTTTAATTTTTTACCACTTTTGATGGAACATTTAGGTGGCAATTCTTTGAAATGTCACGTGCAATGTGTCGGTTTTCAATGATAATAGATGGCGCCACCAATAAATGCAAATAGCATTGACATTTGGTTAAATAAATTTAAAAAAAAAAATTTTATTTATAATAAAAATGCCAAATATATTTTATTATAAAATACTAAGAAAAAATAATTCGTTTTCATATTAAAAAATATGTTAAGACTAATCTCAACTACAACCCTTCTTCCAATTTATGTAAAAATACTACATTTTATGTGAAAAATAGATGGCGCCCAATGTAAAAGTTAAAATACATTGGGTCTGTTCGTTCATTATATCACCCACTACAAGATAAAGTGTGTTCAATAGTTGTCACTTTTTTTTATATAAAAATTTTCATTTATTTAATTTTGCAGAATACGGGAACAGCCCAGTCATCTTATTGTGTATTAAAATTTGTCATTTCAATTGTAACTACTCGTGACAAAAAAAAAATAGAATCTAAGGAATTATTACAGAACTTCTTCATAAGAAATCTACGAAATGTTAAAAAATATAACAAATCTACGTATTAGGACCTAAGGAAAGGTTATAGAAATTATTTACAAATGTACGCTTTAGATGTTATTAAAATTTTTTAGAAAAATCGACACCTTGATCTTATTCATTAAACGAATATTAAGAAATATTTAAAAGATTTAAAATATCCAGCCTTCGGAAATCAAGGAAGTCTACAATTTTTTTTTTTAAATTACCCATGGGAAAGGATCAATTAAACAATCTATACTTTATGAGCTACAGAAGTTCGTTAAAAAAAGCTGCTCTTTAGGGGCTACTTTAACAATCTTTAACAAATTTACGGCTAATCAAATATTTAAATAATGTACGGGTAGGTAGCTTAGAAAAGGCTATTTTTTCAAATCTACAACAATTACTAAAAATTTATTTAAATACAAATTCTTTAAAACAATCTACGCCTTAGAAGCTACAGAAATTCTTTAAAGCTGCAGAAATTCTTAAAAAAAAACAAGGGAAAGCTACAGAAATTCTTAAAAAAAACTACACCTTAGAAGCTACAGAAATTTAAAAAAATATTCTCTTTACTAAAAAATCTACGCTTAGAAAAATAAGGGAAAGCTACAGAAATTCCATAAAACAATCTATTCTTATAACAATAAGGGAAAGCTGCAGAAATTCTATAAAAAATCTATTCTTAGAGACATTAGGGAAAGCTACAGAAATTCTTTAAAATTTTACGCTTAAAGACATTAGGAAAAGCTACAAAAATTCTTTCAAAAATCTATGCTTAGAGACATAAGGGAAAGCTACAGAAATTCTTTACAAAATCTACGCTTAGACAAATAAAGGAAAACTACAGAAATTCTATAAAAAGTCTACGCATAGAAATTCTGCTACAGAAATTCTTTAAAAAAAACTACGCTTAAAAAATATGGGATGCTACAGAAATTCTTTAAAAATCTACATTTAAAGGAAATTACAGAAATACTACAGAAAATCGACACTTAGAAAAATGAGGGAAAGCTACAAAAATTCTTTATAAAAGCTACGCCTTAGAACCTACAAAAGTTTTTAAATACAATCTACCCCATAGGGTCAACAGAAGTTTAGGGTCTTTATGAACTGTAGAAATACTATAAAAATCTGCGCTTAGAAAAATAAGGGAAAGCTACGGAAGTTCTTTAAAAAAAATTCTACTCTCTAAGAACTACAGAAATTCCTAAAAATTTCTACGCTATATGAACTAAAGGAATTCTTTAAAACGTTCTACGCTAAACTAAAGAAATTCTTTTAAAAAATCTACGCTTAAAAGAAATAAGGGAATGCTGCAGAAATTCTTTAAAAAATCTACTCCTTAGAAAAATGGGGAAATCTACATAATTTATTTATAAAATCTACGCTTTAAAAGCTACAGAAGTTCTTTAAAACAATCGACTCCTTATAAACTAATGAAATTCTATAAAAAAATCTACGCTTAGAGACATAAGGGAAAGCTACAAAAATTCTGTAAAAAAATCTACGCTTAGAGACATAAGGGAAAGCTTCAAAAATTCTGTAAAAAAATCTACGCTTAGGAAAATAAGGGATAGCTATAGAAGTTTTTTTAAAATCCTAAAAGCTACAGAAATTATAAAAAATCTACCTATTTAAAAAATATATTAAAGAGTCTACGTTTCAGTATCGTTTTTATTCCAATGAAGGCTATAAAGATTTTTTTAAATCCATGCTTTATGATCTCAAGGAAGACAAAACGAATTTATTAAAAAACTACGTTTTTGCTAAAATTATACTCTATGATCTAAATAAAAGTTACGAAAATTCTTTATAAATTCTATATTTTAGTTTCTAAGGAAAGGCTACAAAAATCTATGCTTTTGAAGAAAACAATGTGTGAAAAATTCAATCCTAGATATTTGCCTGTCAAATCTCTTCAAGGAAGGAAAAAATAAAGAACGATAAAAATATATTTTTTTCTTTGATTTACTACCTAAATGTCATCTGACTAGTTATTGACTTTTCTTATTTTTATGATTGATCTGTGACCAACTCACCCACATCAATTCATATGTACGATATGATGGTTAATTTCCGTTTAAAGAATAAAAATAAAAACAACAACCGCAAATCGATAGTCAACAGGAAAGAATAAAAGAAAGAAGGTGGAAGCCATAAAAAATATTTCTACATTTAGCCAAAAAAACACAGATACGTCAGGCGAAAGAGTGTGCCTGGGGGGCAGTATAGGGTGTTGGTGTTAAGTGTTCAATAAAATTTACGTGATGGGGTTAAGAAGGGGTTAAACAATTTAAATCACTGGGATTTGAAAATAAAAAAACTCTAAAATATTTGTTAACAAAATCTATGATTTAGGATCTATGAAAAGATTTAAAGAATGCACTCTATATGAGCTGAAAGTGGATGAAACATAATATCTACGCTTAAAATGCTAAAAGAGAATACAAACATATTATACAAATCTAAATACTTAAAAAAATCTAAATCTATCTATGGAAAGGCTACAACAATTCTTAAAAAATTTACATTTTAGAATATATGGGAAGACTACGAAAATTCTTTAAAAATCGACATTTTAGGATATATGGGAAGGCAAGAAAACTTATTTAAAAAATCTACGCTTTAGGATGTACCGGAAGGTGAGAAAATTTATTTAAAAATATAAGCTGTAGGTACACGGGAAGGTAAGAAAATGTATTTAAAAATCTACGCTTTAGGATCTATGGGAAGGTAAGACAATTTATTTGAAAAATCTACCGTTTAGGATCTACGGGAAAGGTAAGAAAATGTATTAAAAAAGCTACCCTTTAGAATCTAAAGGAAGGTAAGAAAATTTACTTAAAAATATACTCTTTGGGAACTACGGGAAGGTAAGATTTTTTTTTTAAATCTACGCTTTATGATCTACGGGAAGTTAAGAAAATGTACATAAAAAGTCTACGCTTTAGGTTCTAGGGAAAGGTAAGAAAATGTATTTAAAAAATCTAGGCTTTAGGATCTACGGGAAGGTAAGTAAATTTACTACAAAGTCTTCTCCTTAGGATCTACGGGAAGGTAAGAAAATTTATTTAAAAAATCTACGCTTTAGGATCTACGGGAAGGTAAGAAAATGTATTTAAAAATCTACGCTTTAGGATCTACGAGAAGGTAAGAAAATTTATTTAAAAACTCTACGCTTTAAGATCAACGGGAAGGTGAGAAAATTTATTTTAAAAATCTACGCTTTAGGATCTACGGGAAGGTAAGAAAATGTATTTAAAAATCTACGCTTTAGGGTCTACATTGCATTTAAAAAATCTACGCTTTAGGATCTACGGGAAGGTAAGAAAATTATTTTAAAAAATCCACACTTTAGGATCTACGGTAAGGTAAGAAAATTTATTTAAAAAATCTACGCTTTAGGATCTACGGGAAGGTAAGAAAATTTATTTAAAAAATCTATGCTTTAGGATCTACGGGAAGGTAAGAAAATTTATTTAAAAAATCTACGCTTTTGAATCTACGGGAAGGCAAGAAAATGTATTTAAAAATCTACGCTTTAGGATCTGCGGGAAGGTAAGA